CTGTTTTGCAAAGGTCCTAGGCACTTCTATGAAGTTGTACTTCACTGGGGTTTTCTCTTGACTTGTTTTGGCATGTTTACTTATTCTTATTATCTGATATGGCTATTCTTATTATCTGTTATGGCAAGTTTAATCTAAATACTAACAGAAATTTGAAGATGTTAATTAAAAAGGAAGATACACCAAAGCACAAGTGCTCATTTGTGCACACACCCACATATTTGTAAATAATGCCACATGTGCTGGTGGTCATTTTGTCTTTGGTGGGACACATCATCACAGCTCAACCTGCAGGTTCACATTATAGCCAGCAAGTGAAAAGTAGGACGATGGTCTTCCAAAGACCATCCTCATCAACTTCACTGAACTCCCAGATAGACTTTTACATGCACACCCTTATAGCACCTTCCAGTATCTAAAGGAGCCTACAGGAAAGCTGGAGACAGGCCTTTTACAAGAGTATGTAGTGATAAGACAAGGGCAAATGGCTTCATACTAAAAGATGACAGGTTTAGATTAGATATTAGGGAGAAATTCTTTACTATGAGGATGGTGAGACACTGGAACAGGTTGCCCAGAGAAACGGTCACAGTCTCATCCCTGGAATTGTTCAAGACCGGGTTGGATGGGCCTTTGAGCAACCTGGTCTAGTGCAAGGTGTCTGTGCCCATGGCAGGGGGGTTGGAACTAGATGATCTTTAAGTTCCCTTCCAACCCAAACCATCCTATGATTCTGTGATCAAACCTTGAGCAAAGATACAGCTAGGCAGTGAATTAAAAACTAGCCAGGTATGAGTCCAGAAAGTGCAAGTGCAAGTGGTCATACAAAAGTCCAAATGCTAGACTATAAGGAAGGTTGTAACTAGTGGTTCAAAGAGAACCAGTAGGAAATCTGGGGTCACTGTGTGGCTCTGACACAGACTTCCTTTATGTCCTTGCCTCATTCACTTAATTTAGCAATTCTCCAGCTAAGGCAAGGAGACAATAGTACCTCCTTAATGGTCTTATGAAGGTCTCTTGAGACTGTGGAGAGAGAGAACTTGACTCCCTCTGTGTTTATATACTCCTGAGCAAAAGGGAGTCCAGGTTATTAATGCCTGGGTCTGCTGCTGCTCCCCAAAGTAATTGTATCAAATATATGGACCAACAGTAAAACTTCACAATGTTTTCCCATTTGGGGTTAAAGGATGTATTTCATTCGACAACCTGGAATGTAAAGTATGGGTATAGTTTTGAGCTCTCGTTTCTTGTTTTGTTTTGTTTTGTTTGGTTTTTTTTCTATTTTCGGTCAATGAAGTAAAATTCAAAGTGCTTACCCCCTTCTTGTTTTAAATCAAGAGGGTATCCCTTTAAGAAACAATAAACAGCTCATTCAAATTTTCTTCTGCATCATTTTTGTGTCTTTCTTCCTCTAACCAAATGGTTGCAGTTCAGTCACACACCTGGCAGAAGTTCTTTAGCCCTGTCAGCTGCAATTTTCCAGAGAAACCTCTTTGCTGAATAATTCCTCATGAGGCTGGAGGAGAGGACAGGTTTGTGTAGCTGTCTGCATTGGAGGGTAATATTGCCCTCTTCCTGTTATCATCTGTTGACTTCTGGAGTGTGGGACACTGAATAACCCAGCAGAGAGATATCACCTGTGAGCAAGGAGGTAAGAGCAAGTACTGTTGGTGAGATGATGTTATTCTCTGGACAATTCTTCTGCCTTTCTAGGCGGGACAGTGTGGCCTCTTTAACCCCATCACTGGATCAGTGCTCTGAAATTACACTAGTGTAATCATCCCACCTGAATTAAGCAAGTAACTCCTGGCTTCTGACTTCACAATCCAGCCTTGGGCATCCCCTCTTAGCCTGATGCCTGCATCCCCCTCTTCCTCCCTCTCCCTTGAAGCCCCCTGCTTGTGGGCTCCTTGATATTTTCCAGTCCTTCCCTAATGAGCACTGCAGAATTACAGCTAATTAAGGATGTAAATGATGCTGGAGAGGGAGAGAGAGGGAGAGGATGGGAAAGGGCGGGGGGGAGGGCAGCTACTTGCTGTGTGCAACTCTGCAGTAAAGTGTCTCCTACCTCAGCAGAAAAGTTATCACGGGAGACAATGTCAACTTTATGGAGGTGGGGAGGGCCCTTTGCGTGGCTTCATCCCTGCCTGCAATAACTGCTGCCTCTCTTTTATGTGTCAGCACTGCAGATGCTGAAGTCCTCCCTCCCAAATGCTGCTTTGTCAGCTGGTGCTGACATCGAGCCCTGGTCTCCTTCTCTGGAACTTGCCACCACCCTCATCCATGTGTCGCCTGGGGGGTGAAGGGCTCAGAAGACCTCAAAACCTTCCTGTTCTCTGGGTGAGCAACCTGTTGTGTCCCTCTCGCTTGCAAAGGGATTTTGGGTGAGGTCCACCTCCCGATTTAGAAAGGACACCGTTGTTCAGGAGGGGAGTGGATTTTGGCCACTTCTCCTAGGCACCGGGGCACCTGCCTTTCTGGGCTACCACCTGCCAGTGCTGGTCCTCAGCCACTGCTCCCCAGGGCAGGATTAGGGCTAAGTCCCTTATCTCTGCAGTGGTGGCGGGTGACTGGGACAACACACCTTGCGGGGTGACACGCTGGTGGCTGGAGCTGACAGCTCGGGCCACACGACACTGAGATATGTGGTTGCTCACATGTCTGAACTGATCGGGTTTGCTTTAGGAAATGCTCCTGAAGGGAGCAGTGGGGGTACTGGAGAAAAGAAGGGTTCATCCAGCAAGGGGTTGCAAGCCCTCCACCCCACCAACAGCCTTGACTGGCAGCTCCTGCCTCTGCCAGGGAGCCAAGAGTCAGCTGTCTGGCAGCCCTGCATCAGGGAGAGATGGTTCTGCTGGCTCTGAACAGCTGTTTGAACCCATTCCAGTCTCTCTGGGTCCTCCCGAGTACGTTTCCAAGCACTCTGGGTCCCTGTTGGCGTATTTCTCTGCACATTGCCCAGATCAATGAATTGCGAAGGGAGACTTGCCCCAGCCCCACAACCAGTCCGTCTGTCTGTCCCCTGCCTGGCTGAAGCAGGAATGCCCACCCCGGGTCAAGGGGAGATGGCATTGGGTGGCAGCAACGGTGGTGGTGGGTTTTGTTGTTGTTTCCCCAGAGCGCTGTGCAATATATTCTGATTTTTTTTCTTGTCATTAAGCCAGTGCCTCGGAGATGATGATGTAGTCCCTATGTGGGCCGCAGAAAGCACTTCGAGCCGTGCTGGAGTCGTGCTGGGTGGCTCTGATAGCAGAGCTAATGGGAGCGAATGGGATGCAACGAACTGTTCTAATGACACCAGCCAGGGAAGAGACAACAGTAAGAATAAATAAATGTTAACTATTTTCCTCTTCCAGACATTTGCATCTATTGCCATTAAGTTCATTTAAATAAGAGAGAGAGCGAGAGAGAAGGGGAAACTTACTACTACTCTTAATAACAAGTGTCTAAAAATAAATTAGGATGCTGGGATGCACTTAAGGCATTTTAAAAATAAGTCTGATTTCTTCCCCCTTTCCTCTTTTTTTTCCAAGTTGGAGGGTTTTAATTTGGGCCAAGTAATTTTGGTGCAAACGCTTGGGCGCCTTTCGTTGGGAAATTGGGAGGAATGCAAACAAGATTTCACTTCATTAAACAGGGGCAAACAGTAGAGAAATTGCACTTACTTATGGAAATGACTTTTAAACATGAACAGCATTTACTTGCATTGCCTTGTGCTGATTTTTTTTTTTAAAAGATTATACATGTGAATAATTCACTGCGGGCCAATTAGATGATGATTTCATTTTTAACCTCTCTTCCTTGCCATCTTGCTGGCTGTCCCTTTCATTGCAATTTCCACCCTCTTCCTTCCTTTTAATAAATTAATAAAGATCAAATAATTCCTCTCCCTGTGGTGCCAAGAGCTAGCTTCTTTGAAAGGGTGTAAGGTGAGAAATCAGAGGATCACCATCTCTGCTAAACTGCCCTGTGATGCAGCAGAAATAACTCCATGGGATTTCTAGAAGCAGAACTGCACCCATGTGTTCAGGAATAAGGAATGAGAGGAATGAAAAATGGACAGGAATGAAAGGTGGAGACAGACAAAAAAGATCTCCATGCTGTCTGCATGCAGAATGAGGTGCTGGAGAGAGGTTGAGCAAGCAGGATTTACCCTCTGTGAGGCTCCATTGATGCTGACAGGATCACACCAGCGTGAGTTTACTCTGGCCAGGCTAAAAGCAGCACTCGGATGGGTGGCTCCATGGCATTACTGGGGATAGAATGGTGCCCTGAAACTCTTAATCATCCCTGGGCCCAGATGCAGGCCAAAAAGATGTGAGGCCACTGTTTGAACCAGGGAAGAATGGCCTGGGATGGGAGAAGAAGCCAGAGGAAGATAATTTTGACTTTTGCCAGGGCCTGTCACAAGTGGACCTTACAGCAAGTGGATAGAGAGAGAGTTCACCATGGGGCCTCCGTGTTTTTCCCCATCTAACAGATGTTAGAGATTCTTGCTGTTATTAATGCGTGTGTCAGGGCTTTTCCAAGCTTTCTGTGGAAAGCAGTCTGTGGGATTTCATGACAGCAGAATCTGCCAAAACTTTCAGGGTGCTGGGAAGGAGTTCCAGAAGAGACTGGCTCCCTCTGGTCTCAACTTTGCTGCTTCTGCATTTCATCAGATGCCTGCCAGCTTAAAAGCAGCATTGGGAGACTGTCCATGCAGACCCCAGTCATGCTTGTAGGAAGGCAATACCTGTCCTCAAAACAGTTTTTTTTCCCCAAATATTTAACTCCTAGAGCTCTTTACAGTAATTAAAGTATGAAATACAGAGCCTTAAAGCCTCTAAAAACATAATAAAAATATATGTAATTAATTAATTGTAAAAAATCAGCCAATCTACCTGTTTCATTTCTTACTTGACTTTTACCTGTGTTTCTTACCTAGCTCTTAGGTCTCATTCATACATATGACCCACTCTACATCAAATGTGACTGCTGTCTTCCTTTCATCTGCCCCAAAATGAAGGAGAAACTTTGGTACCTTCCCAGTGAAACTTCCAGCCCCCTGTCACTGCCAGGACAAGGGTAAATAGGAATATTTTCTCTCCCTGCATCACCCACAGCACACCTCTTTTCTTAGCTAAGCAAGAGGCTTTTCCCTGGTGCCAGTGGAGTCACACTGCAGAAGAGTCACTGCTTTGTGGGGTGAGTGTCAATCCTGTGCCAGTCCTGTGGGGTGAGTGTCTGTCCTGTCTTCTCCTCCTTACAGGTGGGAAAACAGAGGCATGGAGCAGGTAGGACACCTTTTTGCTCCTGTATACCCTGGCCAAGCGTAGTCAGCAGTGGGAGAGCTGGGACCCTGGTCAGAAGCAGGACTGTCCATAATTTAATTTCTTGTTCAGCTCTCATTTAAAAGTTTATTTTAATGAAAAAGATCTTCCTGAGAAGCTCCCCTCCAGATGACTGGTAAATGTCACAGCACCATGTCACCACTTTCTTCACCCCTGTCTCTGCTGTCTCTGAAGCCTTCACCATCTTCCTCCAGGAACTCCTTTCTTGCACTGTCCCAACCTCATCCCTCCAAACTGCTTCCCAGGATGTTTTGTTGTCATTTTGTCAGTGTTTGCTTTCTCAACAGATCAGATTCCCAGCCCTTCTGTGCTTCAGTGTTTTTATGGCTCTTCACTGGTTACAGTTTTAGGGGGGAGGAGGTGGCTGCAAGCAATGACCTGTGATTTCCAGGGAAGGGGAGAGCAAGGAAACTTCAAGCAGCATGGCCTCCTGCTGGGAGCAGTCCCTTTTAGAGCCCTTGTGTCAATTATGGCTTTCAGAGACACTTCCCCACTCTATTTGTTTACCCTGGGGAAGCTCAGCATGCCCGTTCAGGGCTGAAGGCATGCAAATTCACTCTCGAGGTAATGGCACAAAGGTCTTCCAGTCTAGGCTTGAGAACTTTGCATTGCCTATTTCTGATTCAACCTACAACACCAGGACCTAAGCTCCACGAAATAGGTTCTCCTTTCCCTAGTGAAAAGGCTTTCACTTTCAGGCTCCTCTGCAGTTCTGTTGTACCTGGCATCCTCCAGCTGAGGATGGAGTTGAGGAACACAGAGGCAGCCGTGAGCCCATGTTAACAACAGTCAGTGATGCCATAGCTCTGCGCCTGATGCTGCTGACCGTAGTGTTGGGTACAGGACATTTTCTAACCTCAGAGGACTGTTCCTGACAGGTATTCCAAACAAATTCCAGCATAGACTCTTTTATCCTGGAATATCCACACTTGGAGTTATTAGGAGACATCTTCCTGAGAAGCTTTGTGGAGAGATAAGCCCAGAAACACCAGCTATGAAACAGCATGTTGTGTGCTGAGCTCTCTCTGCAGGAGAGGTGTTTCCATCTGCTACACAACTCTTGAATTCAAGAATAGGACCCTACGGGCTGTTTGGTACCTCTGTTGACCTCAGCAGGCTTACCACCAGGGGCAAGTTTAGCTCTATGCACTCATTTAACCTGCTTCCCCTGAGGTACCTGTGAGGCCGAGAGTTGTGTGAGGTGGACACCCTCAGCAGTGGCACTTCAGCTGCAGCACTTCACAATGGGCACTCTCTTGATGATCTGCTTGTGCAGCACTTGGAACTGGGGGACAGTAGTGGGTCCTGACCAACCCCCCATGTCCACAAGAGCCATGGGGATCATCTACAGGCAAGGCAAGCCAAAGCAAGGCAAGTTCTCTGTTCTCTGTGCAGTCAAGAAGTCTTGGGCTGAGGAGGGCTTCAGAGGTTATTGGTGTATCTGGCACTGAAATGAGCTTTGTTCTTTTCTTCGGCCTCCTAATGACAAACACTGTCTCTGGGCACTGAATTAACAATCTCAGGTAGAGGTGAGGAAGCGTCAGACATTGTTATTGACGTTCCTGCTGACACCTTCCCTTCAGATACTGCATCCCTGGGGGCTGGAGAGTGCAGGGCTGGGCTCCCTGGACAAGGGTCAGAGAAGATGCTGGACTGAGGCCTCTCAGAAAGATTTCTACCTACAGCTGCATTTTTTGAGAAGAAAATCCACCCTTGTTTCCCATATGGGCTCTACAGAGAAGTAGCAGCAGTGGTGGAATGTTGATGACATTGGAGAGCTGCTAGTCATGCTGCCAAATACCATCAGGTCTTGAAAGGTAACTTGGCAGCATCCCCTGGGTGACTTATATGTTTCTTTTCTAAGCCCAGCAGGTGTAAGCCTTGAAGTGGGGTAAGCACATCCATTTCACCTCATCATTGGTGGAAGCCATATGATTAAGAACTGGCTGAAACATGACATTTTCTGCACTGAACTCCAAATGATGTTCCGTTTGGGCAGAGCAGGAACAGTTTCCTCTCACCAAAATTTGTATGAGAGTGTATTTTTGATAACAAATGAAAAATCCTTCCATTAAACAGAAAAGCCCCTTTTATTTAGCTTTAAAAAGAATTTGAACTATTGATAGGTAAGAAAAAATTAATCTGGACATCTTTTCTGATTTATTGTGTTTAAAATATAAATGCAGAGGATGTTTCTGGAAACTATCTTCCATTGGAGAAAAACTGAAGTCTTACAGGGCTATGTAATAAAGCAGAAATATTTAAAGCAAAGAGCAAAAAAACCCACAATGTTTCTGAAAGAGTTTTGGAAGGAAACATGGAAAGCATAAATTGGTAAATGTAGAAATCCTCTCCTGCCTTTCAATTCTCAAAATCTAGAGCAGGGAGACTTTGGATATCAGCGACTCTTTGCTTTATAGAAATGATAAAGCCACACTTTATCCACACTGTGCCCTCATAATGTGTATCAATTCACATTAGAGAAGCATACAGACTTTAAAAAATGCATTTTGTCTTCTCTTTCTTCTCCTCCTTCCCAAAGACAGATCAGTTTCTTTGTCTGCTTTGCACAAGTGTGAGGACACCAAGACACGGAGATGGGAGTGGTCTTGCCCAAGGTCACACTGCAAACAAATTGTCATGGCAAGAGTCACTCATCAGTTGCTGTGAGGAACAGCAGAGGAAAATGTGGTCCAGCCTCATATGTTCCACTGTCATCATGGCACTGTGTTTCAGATCCACTCTGTGAGTATCAAATTGTCTTGCCATCTCTGACAAGCAGACAAAACAGAGAAAGAGGCTGGTCCAAAATGACTTCTGCTGCTTGCAAAGGGAGAAACTTGGGGTGTCACTGGCTGGAGATACCCCAGATTTCTGAGAAGATTTGTGCCACAAATTGTGTCACATGCATCATGTGGCTGTTTTTTTCCTGATCTTGGGGTCATGTGCAAGGAAATAAGTAAATGGTAGGAAAGCCAACAGGAAAAGAACAGTTAGTCTTCTGGGGCCCTGGCAGAAGGAATAAGAATGTGGGAGTACCTGGGAAGGCCAGGGAGCAAAAATCCTGAAACACCTTTTAACCCATTTGTTCTGCATTTTCCACTCTGTAGATCCTGCTCCCCTCTTCCCTCCCCCTCCCCCAGCTTGACTAGTAATTCAGGAAGAAGAGGCCAAGGAGAGTAATATCATGCTGGAGATAGGACTGGAAGGGCAGTAATTTAGAATCAGAGGCTTATAGTATTATTGCCTGCAAAGCCATTCATGGGAAATGATTCCAACCATCCCCATTCCGCTATCCCCCTCCCCATCCCGCTCTCCTTGCTCTGCAATAACAATAACAGAAATGCCTTCAGGAGGCTTTTCTACTCAAAATGCAGGCAAAGGAGTGCTTTTCTTCACCACCCCTCTTCTTTCCCTTCTCCCTGCACTCAGTTGTCCCCCCTGCTTCCAAGCTTAACCGCTGCTCCCTCCCTTCTCCCTCCCCCCCCCACAGGATAAAAAAATAAAAATAATAATAGGGGTAATAAGAGAGGAGGTAATGGAACGTTCTCCAACTGGGCACATGTCAGAAGCCATTATATGTGGTGCAGATTTGCATAATTCAAGAAGCATCAAATTAAATTTGCATAATTCCTTTGATTACACTTGTTATTAAATGTAAGTGACATTGATTTACAAAATGGCCCAATATAAGGTTAATAGCAAATGTCACCTTCCAGCAGGGTGAATAGGGTGCGTGTGTGGTGGTGGTGGTGATGGAGGAGGGGGAGAGGGGGGCCTGGGGAGGAAGGCAAGCAGACAATTGATTTCTGCTCCTCTCTCTTCCTTAAAGGGCTCAGGTCTCCTTTGCAGAGGAGCCCTCGGCTCTCCAAGGGCTGCACTTGGCTTTCACGTGCATGCAGTGTCATTAGGTGGGCCTGCCAAGTGGCATCGGTGCCATGACTCTGCCACCTCCTCCTCTGCGCTGAGGCATGGTGTGGCCACCGAGCCAGCTCCTGATGGGAGCCAGGCAGGGTGGAAGGAGCAGAGAAAGCCAAAAAGTCACTCTCTCAGGCCCAGGCGTGCTTGGTGGGCAGGAAGAGTGGCTTGGAAGGCATCTTTGTAGGAAGTTCCCATTGAGGCAAGTTTTTTAAAATGATAAGTGAGCTGGACCCGGCCTGTCGCCAGCTGGCAGGACACCCTGTACATCTGCTGGGAAAGCACTGTGAGGGAGTGAGAGTGATGCGAGGAGCAGGGCCTGAAACGCCAGCTCTGATGGCAGAGATTACATGGTAAAAACACATCTGTGATTACGGCAAGACCTGTAAGTTAAATACAGACCTGCAGCCAAAGATGAAAGACTCTGTGCAGTACATACAGAGCTAATGGTGATACAGGCCCATCACCATTGTCCCCTTCCTTAGCCTGGTATGACAGGACCTGGCATCAAACACCACTAGGGTACCCTGGGGGCTGTATCCATTTTGCTAACATGGACTTCAGACCATCTCAAACACTTGCCTTGTTGAGTAGACTCCATCTCTGAATATCTTTTTGCCTCTCTTCATTCTGTATTTTTGTCCAGACAGGGCATGTGATTTCATGCAGGGAAACTGGTAAAGTTATGTGAGCACCTGAAGACTGTAGCGATAAAGTCATAACTGTACCAGAACTGTGTGAAAAGCAGACTTCTAGTCACAGGCAGTTCCAAAGACATGCATACCTGGCCATAACCTGGTTCTGGTTCTGTTGAAACTTTTTTTGCAAATCAAGAGGCTGGCTGAGAGGGAAACAGGGACCCACAGCATCCCTTTTGATTAATTTAAATGTCTTGTTCAAGGTGAAAAAGGATGCTTCTTTTGGTGTCTGAGCTCTGTAAACATTGTCTAATAGCATCCAGACAAATTAGAAATAAATGCCACTCTGTACCAACCATCAGAAGGGTTTTTTGGAATGTGTCAAAAGAAAAGGCACCCAGTTTTCTGGAATATTTTTTTCAAGTTTTTTTTTTTTCTTACTTTGAACAACACCAGCTGCTATAAATGCTATGAATTCACAGGATACCTCAGCCAGCTCAGATGTGAAGTTCTCCTAATAGAAAGTGTCCCAAGGAAAAATATCTCTCAGTTGATGTCCGTGTCTCCATGAAAGAGGTAAAGACTAGCAGCAGGTGAGGAAAATGCTTGATCCCAGGCCCACTAACACCAACAGGATTGTCCATCTGCAAGGGGAGCCATGATGATAAAGCTTACATTAGTGGGAGAGGCTTTGGAGTACCTACTGAATCTGCTGCTATTAGAGCTTTGGCAGCCACAGAGGAGCACTGTTCATGTGCAGTAAAATGGTAACCATGACAAGATATTACAGCACATGGACTACACAGGAATCCCACACTTAGAATGGCAGATGGGGGGGATATTATGCATGATCTGGTATATATACTGCTGATAGGTGGTGTTTACAGCAGGAAGGATACAGTGATTGGTTTATAATTCCAGGTAGAGGTTTTTCAGCCATTTGCAGCTGATTTTTGTATTCTCCTCATCAGCTCTCTAAAGCTCTTGAAGTCCATGCCTAAGATGAAATCAGTGAACCCACTTTTCAGATCCCAACATAAACATGTGAAGCCAGGTCTAATAATCTAGATGATCATCTACTGAACAAGAGATGTGAAATGTATTTTACAGGCCTTTGGGCAATCTAAAAGGAAGCTGCCGTATGCACTCTTCTAATGCCCTACACATTGTCCCACATCCATCAAGGAGCGTTGCCTTGATACATCCCAAGCATCCAATGCTTGCTCCACAGCAGAATATATTTATGACCCTCCTGAACCCAGATTCTCAAAGGTACCCAGTGATTTGGGGTGCCCGTCTTCAGGCAGTTGAAGAAAATATCTTTTTGAGATTAAGCACATTTGTGGTGGTTAATGGCTGAGGCCTGGGTCCATTTCTGTTGTGAGAAAGACAGAAGGTGAAGTGTGTAGATTTGGTGAATGGACACAGAAGGCTGGATGGAATATGCAGGTCCATTGTACACACCCTGGATTGCCTGGGAGCATGAAGGAGGTGTCTTTGTGTGATGCCAAAGGATTGCTCTTTACTTTGAATATTTGTGTCTGTTGAGCAGGTGTTGTGTTTCCCTCTACAAAGCAGCAATCCCACATGGCCTGTTGACAGGCCCCTTAATGCAGAAGATGCAGGTTGTATTCCCAGCCCTGTCAATCCAATGCTCTCTACTGCATCCCTCCCACACCCAGGAGCATCTTGGCTGGTTAGCCTGCAAACTCTTTGGACACCTCAGCTTCAGATCCCTCTGTGTGCTCTCACAGAGTGCTCGGCACAGTGGTTCCCAAGTATGTGACTCTTGCCTTCCCTGTGGGGCTGGTATGGTTGTTTGAGCAGGTCCTGACCCAGACCCTGAGGCTACAGGGGTGTTGCATTGCCTGAAAACCAGTTGCTGGCAACACAGTTTTACATGATACCAAGCAGGGTGTTCCTCTGCAACAGCTCTGTCTTGAAACTCAGTGTCAATCACACTCCCAGGCCATCATGCCACCACTGACATGGGGATGCTGACTTGAATGTGGAGAGTGAGAGGCTTGTTTTAAACATGGATTAAGGGGCTGTGAAATTTGCTGCCAGTTTTGGAGGTGCAAGGGATCCCAGCCCAGGCATGGCTGGTGCTCACGTGTGCAATTGCATCCTGAGCTATTTTCATGCCAGCATAAGCCGTAACTCTCCCAGGTCAAAGTTGGCATGGGCAGAGGCAGTTAGCACTGGCAGCTGCTGCTCCTGCTTTGCCAGGGGAAAGGGTCATTTCTTTTCCCTTCCACTTACTACTTTGGCAGCTGCCGGGCTGGTACAGAGCTCCCCTTGCCGTCAGGAAGATGGGGAGCTGAGCTGAAGCCCCCGAAAGCTGGCAGCAGGCAATCAGGCAGTGAAGAGAGAGAGTCTCTTATTAAGGGTAACCCTGGCTCTTGCTGACAATTGCTGACATCGTCATATTTAGCACCCGCATGCAGCGAGCCTGAGAGACACTCACACACTGGGTGAGCCAACTGCAAATTAATCGTCAGTTCATTACTGCTCTGTGCCTTTCATCCTGACAGCAGCCTTTCAAACGTGGATATAATTGGAAGGGTCCATGTGGCAGGAATTTGGTGAGGGCTGGGAGGGAGAGACCTCAGCTCCCTCTCTCCTTTCCCCTCCCTCCCTTTCTCAGACCAAGTTCTGGGAACAAACAGCAAGCTTAGGACAGGCTGATGAAGGAAATTAATCTCTCTTGCCCTTGTATCTCATCCCTGCCACCTACACCCCTTGACATACGTTGAGGTCTTCATACCAGGAGATCTGTTTACATCCAGGAGGTTCCCTCGAGCTATAATTACCCTCAGCTTGCAAACAAAGTGTGCAGAATAGCAGGGTCGCCTGTGAGAACTTGAATGTGTGCATCATTGTTATTGCTGGTGGTGGGTATTACTGTTGTGCTTATTACTGTGCTACTGGGAGGCCCCGTCGCTGCATTATGCAGGCAGAGTGGAAAGTGAATCTGCAGCTAGGGAGGCTTTTACAGGCATGGGCCACAACTGTGGAGCAGAGTTTGGAGTGTAGGGGGGAAAGAAATGACTCCCAGCATGGTTGGGACCTCATTCTCTGGAAAAAGACACAAACCCTTGGATTTTATTCATCATGGCATGGGACAGAGCACCATTCTGCGCCTCAGTTTTCCTCATGGTCAGGGTGATGTAAATATGCTCATCCTTG